CGCGGGGCCCGCCATCTTAGCTCCCCGCGAGGGCCACCGTCGGTCGCCACCGGCTGTGAGGGGGGAAGCGCTCCCCCCCTCCCCCGCCGACTGGAGCGTCTTCTTCGGTCGACTTCCGGGGCAACCGACGGAGCGCCAGCGATTACTTCCGGGACACTGGGGGGGCGCGCCCAATCACAAGGCGAGAAGAACGCAGCCGCGGCGGTTCGGAGGGAAAAGAAGGTGGAAGAGAGGGAGACGTTGCGCATGCGCCTCAGCGCGGGTTGGTTTGAGGCGGCGAAGGCGGACTTTTAAAAAGGCTTCTTTGTGGGAAGCGGGCGAGGGAGCAGGGTGGCGCATGCGCTCGCGGTCGCAAGGTCCGCGCGTGCGTAAGCCGAGGCGACGGGAGAAAGAACGCGCTCCTTATTTACAAGGGCGCATGCGCTGAGGAGAGCAGCGCCGAGACGAAAGGGCGCATGCGCGAACAGACCACGCGTCTTCTTTTTCAGAGCTATGTATAGTGTAGAGTGACACAAAAGGGTAACGAAGGGACTCACGGTCCCCACCTGGTGGCCAAAGGGAGAACTGCTGCAAAAGCAGGACAATCAGCAAAGTAACTCGGGAAAGTTACTTTTGGGACTACAACTTCTGTAGTCCGAAAAGGTAACCGTTTACACATTCTGACAACCGTTTACACATTCTTACACATTCTGCCATTTTTTCCTCTGTCCGGCTGGGTTTCCCATTGTTCTTTTTATATACCTTTTAAAGACAAGGAGATTCAATGTGTACATTTTATACTTTATTCAAACATCTTTTAGTGGTTTTGCATTTGTCTTGCTTGTAAACAATTCCAGAATATGCATTAAGTGTTATATTTATTATTTAACTCAACACTCCAGTATTTTAGAATAAAACTGCATTTTCCTGTCGCAGAAAAAGCAATACGTACTCCTTTTTTCCCCCCTCCACTATAAAAGCAACAAGAATGATGTTGGAATAAAACCAATTCCAAATATCATCAAAAGCTCACTTTTTTTGTCAATTTTTTTTGTCTTATATTCTTAATGGCCAATTAAAGGTTTTACCTGCTCCTGCATTTGTATTGTTTAACACCATGACTATGCGGTCTTTCCCGAACTTGGAAATAGGATATATGGCAAGAAAAAGGCGAAGAAGCTGTTTCAGCGCTGACTGCAGGGGACTGCTGGTCTCCCTAGCTGGTCTTTTACAAAGTGGATAAATTAGCTTTCTAATTTATGGTAAGGGAAGAGAAACAAGGATCTAGTATGTCTGTATGCTGTTCGACAAGGCTTTACAGTTTTAATTTAAAAAAACTGGGGATTTTAGGTATTAAACTGCACCCCACAAACAGACCCACAACAGTTAGTGCCAATTTTTAAAACCAGTACAAATTAAAGACATGGAACAAGACCTATACAGGGGCCACTTTAAAAGCTGTTGAAAACAAACAGGTCAATAACAAAAGCAGAAAACAAGAGGCAGGATCTCCTTGAATGAAAAGCTCCTTTCACAACAACTCAGCCCAGCTGCCTAAAAGTCTGTCTACTGGCAGAAGGACGAGAAGGAGAGGACCAGCCTCACTGGCTTGGGAAGAGCTCTCTGGCCTGTGAGCAGCCACAGATATATCGACTAAAGACACCGAGTGAGATGGAACATAAACCAGCACCCCATCAATGTTTCTGTATTGAAAAGCACTTTTATCTATTTGGAGGAAGACAGAGCATGTTTCTGGTAGAGGTGGGAACCCTCTGTGTACACCTCTCTCCTCTCCTTAACACCAGTCTTCTCCAGCAAAGGCTAACTCTAAGGGGCCAGTCTTCTAACATGTCCACTTAGCATTCCGAAAAGGTTCCGGAAAGAAGGAAAGATCCAGCCAACTCATCCGTTCTTTCACTTCTGAGAAGATCTGTCGAACCCAGATAGGCTGGTGTGAGTTAGCCGTGGAAGCCACCGGGAGGGCAGTCTGGAGGAGGTGCTGGGATGGCCAATTTCCAACCCTTTTAGGAGACTGTCCTGTGGCAAGGTGGCCAGTCCACCAGGCAGGGCCGTACTTGGCACGTTCCCCAATTCTTGGTGTCCCTCGGCATCGCTCATACATCCAGGTCGTCATCTGGATCTTCCTCATCTACGTCATCTGCCGCATCGGGCTCATAAAAGATTTTGGCTTGGCCAGCCGGCTTCTGGAGCAGAGACAATTTCCTGAGGGAGAGCAGAAGAGAGGTTAGGAGATGGTTCATTATGCACTGAGCCTCAAACAAGGACTCTGTGTGTGTGTGTAGGGGGTGTGTGAAGTTGAACTGGTAGTCACGAGACCAAGCCACAGAACTTGGGAGGGCTTAGTCCAACGCTGAGATATTTTGAGCCAGCATGACTGCTCAGCATGCTGGGAGCATGGGTTCTGCAGTCCAAAAAACCCCCCTAACTTTTCCAAGTTCTGGGAAAGGAGCAGCATTTCTCCCACCTTGCTTCTGGAAACAGGCTCTCGAACTGGTGGGACAAGGAGAGAAAAACACTAGGCTTCCGCTGGGTAGAATTTAAAGAAGTTTAAAATAAAATGTCACATACTGTACAGGACCACAGAGTCACTGATCTATAGGAAACACATTCCTACAGCCCTGACAACGCAGCTATCACGTTTATGGTTTGAGAGCCTGAAACGCCAAGGAATCTTCTGTAGGAAATGTTACTGGACGGAATAAGTCCAGCGCTAGGCTTCCTGCTTTCTCTCAGAGGTCTCTTTTCTTAAGTACAGCTTTCCAAATTCTTCAGCCCCCATCCCCTGTCTGACCAGAAAGGGCCAGGTTTGGCTGATGATAAGTAAATAGGTGAGGAGAAACAGCAATAAAAGGTGAGGGGGGGGGCAAATGGGCTCTCAAGCTGACAGCACGGTGGGCCAAAACGTAGGACGCAAGGTCAGAGGTCAAGGAGTGGGGCGTCAACCACATCGGCTACCCGGAAAAACCACGAAGAAAACCTCCCCATCCATCCTTCTGCTTATTGGGTGGCTTTAGTCCATAGAGTCACAAGGACAAAATGGAAACAAAATACAAAGGTATTCTGGAAGGCTTTCAGGGCCGGGATCTGATGGTTGTTGTGGGTTTTTCGGGTTCACTTCAGAATACGGCCAAAGAGCCCGAAAAACCCACAACAACCAAAACGCAAAGGGTCGAGCAGAGGCATAAAAGGGGTGCAGAGCTGTGGGGTCCAGCCGACTTACTTTTCTTCACTGAAGTGGTATGGGAGGGGCACAGATTCCTTGGCCCTGCGCTCAGCCTCCGACAGGTGCAGGTTGAAGGTCAGATGGGCCATCGGGTCAGCCTGAGGGGAGCCAAAGAAGGAGGACGGTCAGCACAAGGAGCATGAAACTCAGTCCACACAAGGCGGGCTCAGCCTTTGAAAAAAACAACAACCACCACACAAGGCAGTGCTGGTTCAGGCCCAAAGCCGGTCTGGCCCCTTGTTCTGTTTCCACAAGGAGCCAATCGGATGGCCGTGGGATTATTAATCTCACAAGGAGGGCATGAGCACAGCAGCAGGAGGCTGGAACTCTCGTGGTTCCAGCCACTTACATTGAAACTCAGTCCACACAAGGCGGGCTCAGCCTTTGAAAAAAACAACAACCACCACACAAGGCAGTGCTGGTTCAGGCCCAAAGCCGGTCTGGCCCCTGGTTCTGTTTCCACAAGGGGCCAACCGGATGGCCGTGGGATTATTAATCTCACAGCAGCAGGAGACTGGAATGCTCGTGGTTCCGGCCACTTATTTATAAAAGGATAGCCCTGCCTACTGTGTAGCAGCCTTGGTCCTGGAACAGGGAAACGACTCAAATGCTTTCTTTCACACGCCCCAAGGGAGGCATGTCGTGAAGGAGCATTGCCGGCCATAGAGAAGCATCGTTGAACGGTGAGTATTCGGCCCAATTGGAATGCATTAAACCATGTTTAATGCGTTCCAATGGGTTTTTATGTTCCGTTCAACGATGCTTTCACACAGCGAGGGTTAATCAGGAACGGATTAACCTCGCTGTGCGAGGCACCACTGTATTTATAAAAGGATGGCCCTGCCCACTGTGTAGCAGCCTTGGTCCCGGAACAGGGAAACAACTCAAATGCTTTTTTTCACACGCCCCAAGGAAGGCGTGTCGTGAAGGAGCATCTAGATGGGTTTGAAGCTTTGGGGTCCCTTGCCCCTCAGAGGACGGACTTCCTGGTGGAGATCCCTAATTATAGCTCGGAGCAGGAGATCTTGTATTTATCTGTGATTTGTTTCTATGATGAGAAGAGAAGACTCCCTAGAAAAGACCCTGATGTTGGGAAAGTGTGAAGGCGAGAGGAGAACATTAGGAGAGGATGTCCTTGAAAGCTTCTTTAAACAGGAAGGTCTTCAGCATCTTCTTTACAGGAAGGCGTGTCGTGAAGGAGCATCTAGATGGGTTTGAAGCTTTGGGGTCCCTTGCCCCTCAGAGGACGGACTTCCTGGTGGAGATCCCTAATTATAGCTCGGAGCAGGAGATCTTGTATTTATCTGTGATTTGTTTCTATGATGAGAAGAGAAGACTCCCTAGAAAAGACCCTGATGTTGGGAAAGTGTGAAGGCGAGAGGAGAAGGGGAACGACAGAGGAGGAGATGAATGGACAGGGTCATCAAAGCAACCAAAATGGCTTTGACCCAACTCTGGGAGGCCGTGGAAGACAGGTGGGCCTGGCGTGCTCTGGTCCATGGGGTCACAAAGAGCCGGACATGACTTAACGACTAAACAACAAAATGATTTGTTTCAGATCCTTGCATAACACCCAGCTTGGCAACAAGCATTACGCTGGATAGTTGACAATAAAAATCAATACAACCTAGCAACTCTACGCCGCAAAGAAAACATGACACAAATCAATTGGAAGTTGAAAACCATCAAGATCTTTCTAACCGAAAAACTTCAAAGACGGCACAACCAGACAACCCAGATATATATATTTTTAAACAAAATTAGGAGAGGATGTCCTTGAAAACTTCTTTAAACAGGAAGGTTTTTAGCATCTTCTTTACGTTTTTAGAGAGCACAGCTCCCAAAACCCAGAAAAGTTGAGAACTGCTCTTAACTCTGATTCTTCTTACTCCTGAGGGCACCAGGGAAGGGCTTGGATTGACCAGGAAGATTTCCCCAAAAAGTGGTCTTTTTCACCGCTGATCTATCTTGGGTTGAGCGATTGAAGCGCCTGCATCCTGCCAACTCACCCAATGCCACCTCTCAGGATCAAACCATACACTACTACCAAAAAGCACCCAGGAGTCCACAGAACTGGGAGGAACTCCTCAAAGAAGGAAGAGCGTGTACCGTGGCAGCAGGTTTGCTTTCCTCAAGACCTTCTTCTCCGGACATGACTTAACGACTAAACAACAAAATGATTTGTTTCAGATCCTTGCATAACACCCAGCTTGGCAACAAGCATTACGCTGGATAGTTGACAATAAAAATCAATACAACCTAGCAACTCTACGCCGCAAAGAAAACATGACACAAATCAATTGGAAGTTGAAAACCATCAAGATCTTTCTAACCGAAAAACTTCAAAGACGGCACAACCAGACAACCCAGATATATATATTTTTAAACAAAATTAGGAGAGGATGTCCTTGAAAACTTCTTTAAACAGGAAGGTTTTTAGCATCTTCTTTACGTTTTTAGAGAGCACAGCTCCCAAAACCCAGAAAAGTTGAGAACTGCTCTTAACTCTGATTCTTCTTACTCCTGAGGGCACCAGGGAAGGGCTTGGATTGACCAGGAAGATTTCCCCAAAAAGTGGTCTTTTTCACCACTGATCTATCTTGGGTTAAGCAATTGAAGAGCCTGCATCCTACCAACTCACTCAAGGCAAGCTCTCAGGATCAAACCATACACTACTACCAAAAAGCACCCAGGAGTCCACAGAACTGGGAGGAACTCCTCAAAGAAGGAAGAGCGTGTACCGTGGCAGCAGGTTTGCTTTCCTCAAGACCTTCTTCTCCGGAAACGCCTGCCGTTGGCGGCTCCCCGAGATCTTTCAGTGCAAAGCCCGACAGGATGGTGAAGCATTGTTTCTGGAGAAACAGAGAACAGAAGCTGGGGTTCAGTGATCAGGCACATCTTATTTGTACAGTGGTGCCTCGCTAGACGATGATAATGCGTTCCACTGAAATCGCTGTTTAGCGAAATCATTGTCTAGCGAAAAGCATTTCCCCATTGGAATGCATTGAAACCTGTTTAATGCGTTCCAATGGGGAAGAATCGTCGTTGTCTAGCGAAGATCGGCCATAGGAAAGCCGCTTTGTGAACTGCCAATCAGCTGTTTAAATCGCTGTCTTGCGAAGCTTAGGTCCCGAAAACACCTGTTTGCGAGCGCGGAGGGAGCTGTCAAAATCATCGTCTAACGAAAATCGGTTTGCAAAGCAGGGACCAAACATTGTCCAGTGAAATTCCCCCATAGGAATCACTGTTTTGCGAATTGCTATAGCAATAGCAAAAAGCCAATGTCTAGCGAAAAAACTGCCATGCAGGGTGTCTAGCAAGGCACCACTGTACATCCTTTCCCTAAAAAGACAAAATCTACTTCTCCATTCAGCCCAAACGCTGAGTAGTTCTCTTTGGGGTTGCTCCAAAGCAGCCCTTTCACAGCAGAGCTTCGAAAAGTTACCCTTTTTTGCACTACAGCATCTAAGATTCCCCCAGCCGGCATGCTGGCTTGGAACTGAAAGTCCAAAAAGAAGCCACATTTTTCATGTTTCACTCCAGCACGGCTCAGCAACGGCTTTTATCCAGCCTCATGCCATGCAAATATTTTCCCTTCCTCTCACTTGGTTGCAGTGGGTGGGGAAAGGGGTAGGCTGCATGAAGTCTGAGCATGTCGCTCAACCCAGTTCATCCAGAGAACGATTGCACGGGGCCGGGACTAGAATCCTCACCCCCTCTCTACCCTAATTCCCACTGCTTTGGCTTCTGATTTCCATTTCCAAAGTTGCAAACCAGGTGGTTGGCAGGCCTGTTGAGCAGGGGAGGTTTTGTGATCCGTCCGAGTCTCCTCTTGCCTTTTATATTCTAGTGCGTATCCACGCTATACTTCAACCTCCCCCTCCTGTGGAATCCTGGGGTTGGTAGTGCAAAGAGGCCCTTAGAATTCTCTTCTAGACAGCTCTTGCACCCCCACCCACCCTGCATTTCTGTAGACACGTCTAAGCATTTCCCCTGACTAGAAATCCCAGAGGGCCATGGAGTGGAATCAAAGTATCCAACTTTTATTAACTATCTAGCTGAGATACACACAGACTCCTGAACAAGCTACTCATCTTACCTACAAAAGGGGTGAAATATTTGTACCTCTGCATAGTCCAAGCTAGGGTTTTTCCAATAGCAATGTTTGGAAGTGAGAGCTAGACCATAAAGAAGGCTGAACGCCGAAGCATCGACGCTTTTGAATTGTGGTGCTGGAGGAGGTTCTTGAGAGTCCCCTGGACTGCAAGGAGAACAAACCTATCCGTTCTGAAGGAAATCAACCCTGAGTGCTCACTGGAAGGACAGATCCTGAAGCTGAGGCTCCAATCCTTTGGCCATCTCATGAGAAGAGAAGACTCCCTGGAAAAGACCCTGATGTTGGGAAAGTGTGAAGGCAAGAGGAGAAGGGGACAACAAAGGATGAGATGGCTGGACAGGGTCATCGAAGCAACCAACATGAATCTGACCCAACTCCGGGAGGCCGTGGAAGACAGGAGGGCCTGGCGTGCTCTGGTCCATGGGGTCACGGACACAACTTAATGACTAAACAACAACATTTATACCTCGATTACAGGAGCTTTGAGACGGTATACAATACAAGTGAAGGGGATAATAATGAACCAAGGGAGAGCAGGTAGCAAGAGAATGGAAATGGTTCCTACTGATATTTTCTGTGACTCTTTCTGCTGTCAACGGGGAATGGAGCAGCCACTTCTCCGCTAATAGAGAAAGGTACATGCATGTAATGTAATGCCTCCCTGCCATGTATGTTGAGAACCTCCCAAACCTCACCTTCTGAGTCACCTTTCGGCCTTTCCTTCGGTCCAATATCACAGCTACTCGAGGAGCGCAGGTCCCAACATGGATGGTCTCCTGTTCCGGCTTCAGTGACACCACGACATGAGCCAAGGCATGTAAAGTTTCCAGCTGCCCAGGCTGGTGTAAGTCTCCATGGAGAAGGGCCACCAGCCTCGTGATCTTCAGACCTGCAGCAGGGTAGACACATGCGCTACGCCTGGTACACCACAACCAAACTGGACCATTCCTTGACATTCTGGTTGAATGGCAACTGGACCACAATGGATTTAGAACAGAGTGTGATGGCTGGAGGGGATCCCCCACCCATCAACCAGCACATGCTCCTCTCCTCCTCCTCTTCAGGTGGTCAGCCAGTTTCCAGCATTACATGCTCCTCTCCTCCTCCTCCTCTTCGGGTGTTCAGCCAGTTTCCAGCAGGGGCTCAGGCTTCCCGCCCTGCCTCCTCAGCTGACCGCCCACTCAGAGAAGGAGGCAGGGCAGAGAAGTCCGAGCTCCTGCTGGGGACTGGCTGAACACCCAAAGAGGAGTAGTAGGAGGGGAGGAGGGCCTTCCAACTGATGAGTGAATCATTGGCCGGGGAAGTGGAGGAAGGGGACGTGCAGCCCTGAGGTTCATGCCCATCTCTACCAGGGATTATGGGAAAAGTAATCCAAGCAATAAGTTAAACTCTATTTAAGATGTATTTCCCTTCCTTTTTTAGCTTAATTATTCTGATTTCCTAGCTCGGAAAAGTTACTTCTCGTACTGCAAGTCTCAGAAAAGAGCTTATTTTTTCCCTAGCAAAGGCCCGACAGCATCTTCCGTAGAACAAACAGGCCAATTTCCATACAAAAGAATAAGCAGATGCTAAGGTGACATTAGGAACAGTGAGGTTTAAAAATAAGTGGGAAAATATTTCCCGCTCCCCAGACACTGCCTCTCTGATTTCAGTGTGACTAGTTTTGAACAAAAAAGCCCTCCAAAGACAGAATACAAAGGAAAGCGGGTGAACAAAATCATACAAAGAGCTTCACCTCAAACTTGGCCTCAACAGGGACTGGGGCTTTTTAACCTCCCTGCATATTCTAATCATCCCACCTTTCCTTGTTTGTTTGCATCATGCCTTATGACAGCTGCTGGATAATTTTCTCTACTTGCAGGGTTTTTTAAGGGGGGTGCGTTTTTCTTTCACCTGCCTCTTTATAATTTCAGCAGTCGTTGTGTGGGCGTGTATCTGAAGAACACGTCCTTGGTTTAGACAAAGACTTTTCTCTACCAGACATGAGTTAATCTGCTTCTCGGTGCTTATCCCCCACTAGGGACCTTTAAACCACTCTCGACCACCATTAAGAGGTGCCCTTAAGCAGCACTTACTGTAAAACCATCCTTAAACACCACTACTCAAAATCAGCCTCTTCCATTTCAATCACGTCATAGAATCATTAAATCATTCAGTTGGGTCCCCCACTAGGGACCTTTAAACCACTCTCAACCACCATTAAGAGATGCCCTTAAACAGCACTTAAACCATCCTGGGCCTGCAAGGCCATTGAGTCCAACCCCCTCCCCCTCCCCCGCTCAAGGCAGGAACCCAAATCAAAGCAGATCTGACAGATCTTGAAGGCCTCCAGCGCTGGAGGGCTGACCAACTCCCCTTGAGGTCATGGGTTCCATTGTCGTACTGCTCTAACAATTGAGAAAAAATTCCTGATATTCAACCCATTATTACATGTCCTGCCTGCAAGGCCATTGAGTCCAACCCCCTCCCCCTCCCCCGCTCAAGGCAGGAACCCAAATCAAAGCAGATCTGACAGATCTTGAAGGCCTCCAGCGCTGGAGGGCTGACCAACTCCCCTTGAGGTCATGGGTTCCATTGTCGTACTGCTCTAACAATTGAGAAAAAATTCCTGATATTCAACCCATTATTACATGTCCTGCGCACTGGGATGATCAAGGACAGATCCTGCCCCTCCTCTGTCGGACTCCCTTTCAAGCATTTGAAGACTGCTCTCCTATCTCCCCTCAGTGTTCTTTTCTCAAGGCTAAACATCCATGGCTCTTTCCGTCTTTGCTCATCACAAAACCTCGCCATCCTCTGCCTGTATATCAAGGTCTCTCTACTCATGCTCTGTTTTGTGCAGGGTTGCGGTCCCTGAAAATGCCAGCCAAATAGGAAGGACCACCCTCCTCTTTAAAGGTGCCACCAGACTTTTGGCCGCTGCCCCAACTGGAAACCTTTCCAACGTGTCCCATCTTGGCTTACCAGCTGCCTTGCTTTTCCTGAGCAGCTGAGCAAGTAGTTGGCAGACGCTGGGGAACGGCAAGCGCAGAAGCAGCCAACTGAGGGAGTCCAGGACCACCGTGAGGGGCCCCTGCGAGGTCTGAGCCACCAGGCGCGCCACCAGGCCCGAGGCGGTGAATTCTCTCAAAGTCACAGCACCGTCCTCTCCGGCCCAGCCGAGGGGATCCCGGAAGGCATCGTGGAACAATGTCCTTGGAGAAAGAAGGTTCGTCTTATTATAAGAACAATCGGCCGACCAAGCCAAGGAGGGACGATCTCTTGGTGGCAAGAGAATGTCCCAAAAGTGTATCTTCTGCCGACCAATCCCCTAAAGTGGGAGAGCAGCTCCCTGTCATGCAAGGGCAATGTGGCTGGAAAGCATGCACACACAAACCCTGTTGACCCGCCATGGCATGACCAAAACATGGCACCTACACCATCCAAGTGGGTTTTTTTCCCCAAAATACCCTTGCCTCTAATCACTTTTCCAAACCAAGTTTATGTATTAAGCCTTTGACACAACACCTAAGCCCTGACAAGCTACAGCAGGTGTGGGAAACCTGTCCTCGGTGGACCATACGCAGTTCTAACCACTTCTCCACTCCCTCCCCTTTTCAGTTCCTTGCTGGAAAAAAAAGGGAATTGCTGCTTTTCAAAGGCAGCAGAAACAGAATTGCTATTCCAAAGCAAGTGAAGAAGACTCTCCCCCCCCCCAAAAAAAGGACATGCATTCGTAGTAGATTTAAAAAGAAAGACTGGAACTTCTACTCCCTTTTGGTTTTGAAAAACAAAATGCAAAAACAAAAAACAAAAGGGGGAAGCATTTCGGAAGGGGGTGTGCCCACCAGCGGTCGAACGGAAGATAAAACTCCCTCCTGGGTCTTGTCCATCCCTGCTGTCCTTTAACAGAATCTACGCAGGTGTGACTAAATTGAAAAAAATTCTTCCTTTTCTACCTCTCTTTTCGTTTCCCTTCCTCATCAAACTCGGGTAAGTCATCTAAAGTCAGAGAAGGAACCAGCATCTTGATTGGCCTCCTGATGAGTGAGCAGGTTTGCCACAATGTGGAGAAACTCTGAAACGAGCATAAGGCACTTACCGGGTGATGATTTCTGTGCCAAAGCCAGCCTTGAATTCTTCCTCTGAGGTGTCGAAGCTGAACACGTGAACCAATTCACCCCTAACAAGAAACGGGGACAAAGGATGCTTTTATATGAAGGATGCTTTGTACACCCCAAAGGGGAGATGAGGAGGCAGTAGAATAGAGGCAGGGGGAAGCTTAGGTTCAGAGAGAGTATGGGGTATGTTCAGCATGCCAAACCCATCGAGGGCGTCCTGAGTGAGCCTTCCCTACCTGAAGCATCATGCCCAAGGAACGATTTATAGTGTTATGACTAGCAGCACAGCATGACTGTGACATGGATACGTCACTTTTTTAACAGAATTCCTCCAAAGTTGTTTACCCAGAGAGAGAGAGAGAATTTGCAGATGAGTTGTTAAAGGACTGTTTCTCATATCTATGGGTCCTCCAGGCCAATCAAGACCACAGGTAGACCCAACACTGTGTGTGTCCTGCCCGGAGGATCACTCCAAGGATATAAAGGGAAGATGGTTAAGCAGCACCCAGGAGTTGCACGCCAGAGCTGAAGGGCAATGCCTTTAGGGTCAGGAGTCGCTAGCCGAGGGTCTCCAGGTTTTTGCACCCACCTCTTTGCTGAAGCGGCCACAAAGCTCTTGAGCAAGGTGCGGCCTTCGCAGGTGACCGAGTCTACAAGAAAAAAAGTCCAAGACATGTTTAAAACGCAGCAAGATT